ACCCGGCTAATTTTTTGTATTTTTAGTAGAGACGGGGTTTCACCGCGTTAGCCAGGATGGTCTCGATCTCCTGACCTCGTGATCTGCCTGCCTCGGTCTCCCAAAGTGCTGGGATTACAGGCGTAAGCCACCATGCCCGGCCATTTTTTTCTTTTAAGAGACAGGGTTTCACTCTGTCACCCAGGCTGGAATGCAGTGGCATGATCACAGACAGTAGCTCACTGCAGGCTTGAACTCTTGGGCTCAAGTGGTCCTCCCACGTCAGCCTCCTGAGTAGCCAGGACTACAGGTCTATAAGTATGTGCCACTATGCCTGGCTTTCCCCTCTCTCTCTCTCTCTCTATATACACACACACACACACACACACACACACACACACACACATACCTCTCTCTGTCTATACACACACACACACAACCACACACATATATTGTTTGTTTGTTGGGTTGTTTTTGAGACAGAGTCTTGCTGCGATGCCCAGGTTGGAGTGCAGTGGTACAATCTTGGCTCACTGCAATCTTTCCGGGTTCAAGTGATTCTCCTGCCTCAGCCTCCCGAGTAGCTGGGACTACAGGTGTGCGCCACCACACCCAGCTAATTTTAGTATTTTTAGTAGAGACAGGGTTTCAGCATATTAACCAGGCTGGTCTTGAATTCCTTACCTCAAGTGATCCGCCCACCTCAGCCTCCTGAAGTGTTAGGATTACAGGCGTGAAACCACCAAGCCTGGCCGACGTTCTCATAAAAGCTCTACATTCTAAGCAAAATCTCATGACAAACCTTCAAAACATCCAATAAATGATGAAAAATTCACTTACGTCCACCAGGCCACCATTTAATGGAGGTCACAGTAGGACTGTTGAGAATGAACTCCTGGGTTTCAGGGTCATATGTGGCTGTGGTTTCCAAGCCTCGAAGGTGAGTTCCTAAGGAGATAAATTACACTGACTTCAGTTAAGAGATGGGGAAAAAAATAGGCACAAGGAAAAATTTCCTACACAGTCCTTTAAACTCTCATATCTCAGAGAAAAACAAAATCTAACAAAAAACACCAGTAGATGAGCTACAACTGGTTGACAACCAAGACACTGAATTTCCCACGCTATCTGATGGTTTTCCATTAAGTTGAAAATCTAAGTGCCATGCATGTTCCATTTCTGCATTTGATTTGTTACATTTATTTACAGCAACTGAAAGAAAATATAAAGGCAACTTAGAATCACATTTTTAAGATCACAATATATGAATTTAACAGGGATGTTAACTGTCTTTTTAAACCCATCTCTGAGTTGCAAGTATGCCAATTTCAACTCCTATGTATTGTGTTAACCACACCAATTCAACATTCTCGAATTCTGTACTAATGAGAAGAATAAGGTAACATGTGAGAGGAAGACATTTCAGCCAAAATTCTTATAAATTAAAAATGTATGGCTGTGCGTGGTGGCTCACGCCTGTAATCCCAGCACTTTGGGAGGCCAAGGCGGGTGGATCATGAGGTCAGGAGATCGAGACCATCCTGGCTAACACGGTGAAACCCCGTCTCTATTAAAAATACAAAAAATAGCTAGGCATTGTGGTATGCGCCTGTAGTCCCAGCTACTCAGGAGGCTGAGGCAGGAGAATTGCTTGAACCCAGGAGGCAGAGGTTGCAGTGAGCCAAGATTGTGCCACCGCACTCCAGCCTGGGCAACAGAGTGAGACTCCGTCTCAAAATAAATAAATAAATAAATAAAGTATAAAAGTATAACCATTATTGGGGAAATGACCTGGAATGTGACTTCAAAAAATTCCTAAAAAGGTCCAATAATAAGGTCTCAGCTGACCCTACAGATTTCCAATAGCAGGCCTAACTTAGTCCTAGCTGGTTCATTAATGCAGCAAGGAAGAGTTTCCAGTTTCTTATGTGTACTGGGATAGATAGGGTCTTATGTTTCAAATCTTAACATAAATATACCAAAACTATTTGAAAAGAGTTACAGAAAAATGTTCTAGGTGGCAGTCTCTACAAAACTACTGACTAAAGCAAATGTTGGGAACCTTTCACCTATCTGCTTTCATAATGCTAGACCTCATTAAACACACTTTGAAACATTTAGAAGCTTCCAAGTTGAATAACCAACTTACATGCAATCCACAACTTTCACAGACATCTTTCATCAAAAAAGCAGCTTTTACAGAAGAGCAGATAACATTAAACAGAACAAATAAGGACGAAATGTTTTCAAAAGCACAACTGAAACAAATAGTATTCCACTTGGAGTCTCATGAAAATCCTGTAAAATACTATTCAGCACCAAATAAAAAGCAGCAGCTGTACAGAAATAAGGAGCAAGTGGCAAATACACACTAGACCAGTTTTTCTGAAATATTAGAGCAGAAAAAGAGAAGCCATAAGCAAATGAATGGCAAACATGGATTCAATTCAGAGCAGATACAAAGAGGAACAGCGGCCACCTCCAGCCCACCCAGGTGCATGAAGAAAGCAGGTGGGGGATGGAAAGATCAATGAAAGGTGGAGATAGTGTCTGAAACCAAATGCCTGCCAAGTTTGGCTTATCTTGGTTTTTTTACTCTGCAGTCAAGTCACTTGTAGAACTACTGACTGACTCAAAGTACAAATAACTCCAAGGCACAAAATGTCACACACTTCAGTTATAAGCTACTCATTTCCCTCAAGCAAATCCAAGGGTACAGGGTACACAAACTATTATTTGTGTTTCTTCTGGAACTTGTACAAGTTCATTAAGGTACCAGTAACAAAGGTAATCAGATAGTAATGAAGAAAAAAAAAGTTTTGAGTTGTATATGCACACAGATTCCATACAACCTCAGTAACATTGAAAGCCACTTGGCAAATAAGACCTGACTTGTAATTCTTGACCCTCTGAAGGGGAACTATGGCATAAAAAAGACAATCATTTTATCACTATGATAGCCTTTAACTCCCACTGACCAAAGCAGTGTTTATACCAAAACCTGAACTCTGCAAAAAAAGCTCATTTAAACAGACCACAGAACATCGACACGCCATCGATGGTACATGGTGGGCACTCCACACATGGTAAGTTCACAGGGGCCCGCCCAACCCAGAAGGTAGACTGAATACTCCATACCATGACCCATCTCTGTCTGGGCATAAGTGCCAATGATCTCCAAGTTCCAGGCGGGCATGAAGAAGCGCTCCTGCTGCTCCGCAGTTGCCTGGTGAAGCAAGGTGGGCAGGAACATGCCCAAGTGAAGATCCAGAGGCTCAGGCCGCCCTCGGTGCACAAAACTTCGAGGAAATATCAAGGATGGGCATTTGAGAGAAGAGTCATCAGGTGTGAGAGAATCAGCAATTTAAATAGAGCAAGGAAAGGAGACAAAAAAAACCTTAAGTATGAATTAGTTGCGTGCACTGAATCATAGATGGGAGCACTGTCCCTTTCTGCATTACTTTATAATTCTTGTTAATTTCCATTTTTCCAGAGTCAGCAAGGAGTATGAGGAAAGGGATTGGCTACTGATTCTAAAGTCAGTGCAGTACAAAACCACACGTCCAAGACAGAGGATCCCAGCCCAGGAATTAAATCAAAGGAAATAAAGAAAATTTGAGAGGCCAGTGCAGTGGCTCACGCCTGCAATCTCAGCACTTTGGGAGGCCAAGGTGGTCAGATCACCTTAAGTCAGGAGTTCAAGACCAGCCTGGCCAACATGACAAAACCCCGACTCTTCTAAAAATACAAAAATCAGTTAAGCATGGTGGCACCAGCCAGTAGTCCCAGCTATTTGGGAGGCTGAGGCAGGAAAATCGCTTGAACATAGGAGGCGGAGGTTGCAGTGAGCTGAGATCACGCCCACTGCATTCCAGCCTGGGTGACAGAGTGAATGATCCACCCACCATTGGCCTTCCAGAAAGTGCTGGTGATTATAGGTGTAGCCCCATCCGTGCCTGGCCAATTCTTTTTTTTTTTTATTTTTTTTTTTGAGACAGAAATC